TCAACATGGTATAGGAACAGTGCTGCACAGAATCAACATTGGCATACAATTGACACAGCATACAGCAGACACGAGCATTCAATTGACACAGCATAACATGACCAGCAATTATAATTAGCAATGCACAAATTCAGGAAGGAAAGAATTTTATTAAATTATTGTAGGATTAACATTAGCACAATGAAAAATACAGTGCTTGAATTTCTGTATTGATTCTGTATGTGGCAGCAAAGAGGCTGGCAGTGTCGATCCTGAGTTGCATTCCCTCTTTCAGCATTTACTGGCTCTATAGAGTTAACGAATAATTATTTTTTTGATGTTGCTACTCAAGTTACCCATTTAGGAAAATGAATTTTCTAAGCATCTGGAAGTAAACCTCTAATTCTGTTTCATTTTCTAAAAATCAGAAATGATTGATGTTGTTTTATACTATAGTTAAAAATAAGCGTTATACTTTATAGCACCCATGACCATACCTTAATATAATGCCAATGATGCTGTTATTGAAAATATAAGGTTTATTTATCATACTGAAACTCACTTAAAAAACTTTAATTGTAATTTTAATTCAAGCAATAGTATTAATTTAATTTGAGGTTCAACTTCTCCTAATACCTACAATGTAATTGCAAGATTTGATGATAAGAAAAAATTTTAAAATCATCATGAGCAATGTAGGGTACCAATGTATCATAAATTACTCATGTTACATGAACAACAGATTTATATATGGTCAAATAAATCTACTCCAACAATAACATAATTAAATAGCCTTTCTGAAGTTATCTAAGCTGAAAAACTATTAAGAAACTCCATAATTAATTTATCCTCTTTCTACTAATCACTCAGACTGTTCAAGTTGCAATAAATAAACAATCAAGTATGCAACTAAATTAAGAGAATATGATAAGTATTTGATTCGATAGATTATTAATCTTACAATATCACATTTGACACACTGCTCTAAATAAAAATAAGCCAAAACATTAAAATCATCTCTCCGATATGCACAGACCGCATGAATCTGCGGTAAGTGTACATCTAAATCAGTAACACAGCCTCAGCTGTTCACATGATGCTTCAGTTAATAAAAACGATTAAAGGTTCAAAATGAGAGACATTTCAGCCAATAAGATGTGGACCGACCACATCTTACTGACACCATGAATGAGGAGCAATCTTATCTTGAATAAAACACCAGGGAAAGAGAATGTAGCTGAAATTACTTATAATTTCCACAATAAAAACAGGTTCAAAGTACCAGAGCTCCTAGTTCATCATTTTATATTGTTGATATGGGTATTCATGACCACAGTTTAATTAATAAGTCCATGCTCACAGTAGTTTAGCTGCTCATCATGAAAAATACATTTAAGTGAGTAATAATTACTAACAATGAATATAACCATCAACAAGGAACAACTGGATTAGTTGCACAGGCCGACTTTATAGCTTTATCACATGGATGGCCATACTGGGAAACATTTACTACAATATTCAATTTTGTCTGCATGCATAAAAGTAGGTGAAGTAATTTCTACAGTAAAAACAAAATCAATGGTAAACAAATATTAGCACATATTGTTTTTTATTGATTAGGATCTGTAGCCATCTTCTTTCTCTGTATTTTCATTAAATCTCATTAAGTATCCTTTTCTCAATTCTTTTAAACAAATGCTACTTTTATTACCTTTCGCTTTGGCCTCAGCAACTACTATGCAATTTGAATATTTGATTGACTGATTGCAATCACACTGGGTTATGCAGTATTTAAAATATATTCATGTAATCTATTAAAATTTTGTAAATATACTATGTCTAATTTAAAAATATATGAAAGATATTTAAAGAGTTCTATTGGCTACAGAAATTCATGACAAATAAGATATGCCATAATTAGGTTTGCAAAGTAATATAAGTACAAATGAGATTTTAAAAAGAAAACTTAAAATTAGTCAGTGCAAGGTTTCTTACAGATATTGTGTTATCAATGGAAACGAGTTTAAAATATGCTAAAATGCATTTTTTCTGCCAAAAACAACTCAGTGAAACATTTAAGAACTCTTTCAAAAAAAATTAAATAAAGAATGGGACATAAAAGTATTTTCAAGGACAAAGACTACCAGTCTGCACTGCAAGTGCAAGAAATTTTACTATATAGAATATCTAAGATGTAAATATAGTAAAATACTTTTAGTCATTTCTGCTAATAAAAGGTTAAGGTCATAATTGCAATATTCCCAAGAAAAACATAAAATATTCATAATTGGTTTGATCGTTGAAATGTACTTCCACATTAAAATGAGTGTAGAAATACTGATGTGATCCTAGTAAAGTAGCACACATAAGGAACATGATATTTTATGATAGAGATATGAAACATTTTTTGCGTTTGTTATTGTGTTACTTGCAAAGGACATATGCCATAGTCACATTTCTACTATAGTCACTTAAAATCACAAAAAATGGTTTCTTCTACCTTATTCATTGCAACATCAATATTTAATAACACATATGTAATTTTATTTATGTAAGTACAAGTTTAAATACATGGAAAGTCCAACTATCCAGCATTCAACTAACCAGAAAAGTTCAAGTAATTGAAATATTTAAAAAATTAGAAAATTTTTCTCTATGAAACGTTAAGCAAATGGAAGTTTTGTAAAGATATCAGAAGCACCTATATGATCACAACTGTAAACAAAACCTTTCGATAAATAATGGTTAAGCATTTATTGCAAATAACAGTTACACATGACATCACAAAATTATCATTGTGGGTCTCTTAAAAAACGAGCTAAGCGCTAAGCAAATGGGCAGAGCATGCAGTCTCTACATCTTGGCAATGAGAAGTTAGAAAGATACAGACAGTTCATAAATCACTGGATTATAAAATTGCCATCTTTTATAAATAAGACTTAATATACCTCATAAAATCACTTTATACCATATTTCCTGCTTTTAACTACAATATATCAAAAATAAATGATCTAGTGCAATCTTAACATAGGATGCAAGATAACACCATTTTAAAACAAATTCATGTAAATTTCATAGAAACATTCTTCATTTACTTTGCTTTTATATCTTTGTAGTAGAGTTTTACAGCTGTGATATACTAATAAAAGAACAATAACCTTTTTAATGAATGCTAATCACCACTCTTGTAACAAGCAGAAAGGATATTGAAAATTAATGAGAACTCAAGCAATGACATTTTAGTAACTTGATGTCATTCTTAAACTTTGTTACATATTTATGAAACTTAAACAAATAAAATATCATAAAATCAAGTTTGAATATGCCATTGAAATTGTTTAACATCTGTAAATGCTATTTTCATTTTATTGTTATACTGCATGTATATTTAGAAATCTTCATGACATCCTGACATAAGTTACATTATATAAAAGAAATTTAATACAAATTATAATGAAATAATGCATCACAATTTGAAAGACATGATTCCTAATGATATAAAAAAGCAATTAGAAAAATAAAAATATACCAATTTTTAGCACTTAAAGTTTAAAAAATATGCACCATCAAACTTTTAAATTTTCAAAACAAGATCCTCACAGTGTAGAGCAAGCTGGTTAGTAGGTGGGATTTAGAAATAAAAGTAGGTGAAGCTAAAGTTAAAGTCCATACTTCTTTCTCAATATATAAAAAAAAAAAAAAAAGCTATGTTAAAAATAAAAAAGTTTAAACGTATTTTTTATTCTAAATTAGCATTTTACGATAATTTAAATTTTTCTCAGTATTAACTTCTATGTGATAACTTAGTCAAGAGGTTCGGTTAAGGCATCTTACAGTTTTAAGGTATAAGAGCTAGAAGGTCAATAGAAACATTAGAAACGTGCGTCTGATTCAGAGACTTGTAATCCCAAATAGGGGAGAAGGAGTTGCTGCTTCTTTTAGCTTAACATTAATAGCATGTATTGGCTTCCTCTTTCAGAGGCCATAGCCTTGGTTTTACTTCAACGTAAATAATTTTAGATTAGCTGCTTAGCTTTAATGAAGAAGGATGCAAGATAACCACTGTTAAACGATAAAAATTTAGGACCTTCCCTAAACAGAACAGCATGCAGTAGAGTATTTACAAAATTAGGGTAATCTAGCATGAAGAAAAATGATCATTAATGGGTACAATTAGCGACTACTTGAAAATGCATAAACAATGGTGATGCAATGTAAAAAATTATAACAAGCTATTTCAGGTTTTTATAAGCTATACTCTGGAAGATCTAACAACATAAAAAGTGATGTGTTCTTAAAACTATCATCTGAATGATTGGCATGAGTTAGGTGGGATTTCGAGAAACTTTTGTAGAATTCCATAATCGGATGACATGGTTTACTTCCATATGTTTATGGCTTATGAAAATACTTTGGCTTTTATGTCTGAAGTACCCCTTTTTTTTATTTTACTATTCAAGGCAGGCTTTTGATATTAAAGTGGATAAGAAATAACACAGTTTCAGACCAGAGATTTCTTCTTCCATTCATTTGACTTTTCTACATGAATTTCACTTTTATACACTCAACTATCCAGAATTTTCACTTATCTAGCATTTTTCGAAGCTTTCTGGGTAGTCGAGTTTTAATTAGTCAGGTATCATACTTCTACAAGAAACCAATTAGAAAGTGTTCCTTTCTCCAGCAAATTTGGGGTTTTGAGTCTTATGCTCTTTTTTTCTCTACCGAGTCCATCAGTGAAACAAATGCAGTTCACATTGCAAATGGAAATCGTTTACTATTGTGACTACACCTGACAATCTAATCTCAGATATTGTCTGTCAGTACAACAATGTATAATTGAGCTAGCCTTTTGATGCACTGCAGAGTTTTACAATAAATAATTTAGAATCTTGAATAAAAATAAAGGCAACTGATAGTTTTGAAAATTTAATTGAAGATTTAATTTTCATCATGATAGAAAAAAGAACAGTTTATAAAACATACAATAAAATGGTATTAACATATGATAGATGACTTACCTTGTAACTACCATAAGCTCCTCTTAGAATTTCATATAATTTCATGTACAAAGGAAAAGTATGAAACTGTCCTAAAGTTCCGCTTATTTTACTAGCTCGTTCTTTTTCAGTATCGGACTTGTCTAAAAATAAAAAATATTATTAACACTTTAAAGGAAGTATGAAATTATGTTTAGTTTTATTTCTGATATTCTATTGGATATGTACAGAAGTTATGCTTGTTTTCTAGGTGAAAATTCTGATCAAATTGTAGTGAATGATTGGAACATTTTACCAACAAAATTCAGAATGGCCCACATAAAGACACTAAATTTGTTGGAATAACTAATGCAGTTTATGGTTAAAAATGGCAAACAATAAACACCACATCAGACACTGGTTACTGTGCCTTATGTGGCAATGCTTGATACAGGTAATACTGCCGTGATAGCTTGCTGAACATTCTCAAGCATATGAAAAGAATGAAGTTGACATAACCATACCATTGCTCGTTTCAGAAATTCCAGAATGAAGGCATGGTCTATGCATCATTTATGTTCTGGACATGCATCAGTGGTTTTTAATGCAGATCTGGAGTACGGCATACAAAATAAACAGCATCCAAAACCACAAAAATCAGAAAAGTCACTAGTATACATATCAACAATTGTAAGATGATAGCATTAATGCGAGTTCATTATGAACTTCAATTTATAGCTGCTAAGTCAAATTTGAGTCCAGCAACAACGGAATACAGGATGAGCACCTGAGCGTTTTTTTATTTTCTATTACAATTCCTGGAATGAACTGTAATGGAACATGAGAAATGATTTGGTTTATTTGATTATGGCAGAACACTCAAGGGTTATCTGTCCAAGGGAGGATGCCTTTGTGGAGGACTTTTTAAGGGAAACTGGCTCATATACAAATTAAACATGGGGAAAACCATGAAAACACCCAAGTAGTTGTGGGATTTGAACCTCGCACCAAACTACCAGTGTTCAGCAATTTTACGGCTTGGGCACTGGTCATGAGAAATGAATTTCATATTTCAATGCCAAACATTCACGGACAACGTGCTAAGTCAGAATCTCTGCATCAATATTAAATGGAGCAACGCATCTTGAAAAATGTTTATTAAATATATGATGAAACATATGAACAACAATCTACCAAAAGGTAACAAAATTTTAAATGCTAAATTCCAACAGATAGAAATATGAAAGGTATTGGCAGCTAATTGGTCAGCACTTATCATGACATTATTTTTCATTATGATTACACTAAACATAGTGCTTTAAATATCTGGCAAAATTATTAGACCTTGGTTGCTATGTTTTAATCCATGCAATGCAGGATAAACCCTGATCTTGCCTAAACAAACCAACATCTCACTTGATTATTAAACAGCATGTTTGCTCTCAAGATCTTTGATAACATGAAGGATATAAAGATAGCATTAGAACTTTCAAATTTAAAAACAATAGTTATATCAATATGGAATAAAGATACTACAAGACATAGGGAGTAAGTTCATAAATACTGATGAAAATTATGCAAAATCACAGCTACTTTAATTATATGCTTTTCTTTTTACTAAAAATGAACAAAACTTAAAAACACACACAAACACACACAGATTTAACTTATTAATAAGAGCAAAAAAACAAAGTAGCTATTGATATGAGTTTTTATTTATTTATTTTCTTTGTGTGCTTTATTATCTGTAGAACGGAAATTCATATTCTTACATACATTTTCTGCTTTCCTAAAAAGCTAAATTCGATATAAACTATCTTATCTTTCCTCAGGTTTATGTATATTAAAAATTTGGTATCTTTTATGAGTTTTAGTTTTCTTTATATATTTGTGAATTCCCTCTCCCTCTATATTATATGCATGCTTATACACATTTGGATTACAGGACAAAAAGACGTTTTTTTTTCTTCTAATTTAGTGGCCTATGTGAGGAAAAGTTGCATTTTTTCAATGCTAATAAACTCTTTTGGCTACCATTTTGGCACTTAATTTCATATTTATTTAATTTCCAGCCTCAGTAATTGCATCCATAAATTATGAAATATGCTACACAGCTCTTAGCTAGTTTCTATTTTTTAAATAAAAACTACCTAGAACTCATTATGAGGAGGTGGCTGCATATTGAGTTTCAGGTTTTCTCTTTCTGACCACCAAAACAAGCACCATATATCATTAATAATGGCTCTTCTTAATTTTTATCACAAGGCACTACAAGTTTTTGCTCCTTCTTGCCTAGTCTTGCAGTGCAGGATAATGTTTGATGTATCTTTTTTAGTAAAAATCCTCCATATTCATTAAAACAGCACTGATGACTTAACTGAAACTCCAGCTCCATCACAAGCCTCAGCAATCTCTTTTAACTTCCTTCTCATTTGATTATATGGAGAATTTACTATTACTGTCTGCTTTCTTTCTTTTTCTCTTTTATTATTATTATTATTGCATTCTTTCTCTATTTTCCACTCTCAGGAATCAATTCAATGTCATCTGTGTCAGAAGCATTTGAAGAAAGATGGATACTTTCTTCAAAAGTACAGTGAAAAGACAAAAACCCACTCATGCTAATCCTACTTTCTTGCAACTGAACTGTTTGAATTCTTTCTTTCACCTTAACTTTAGGTGTGGCCTTTTCTGAAGAATTTTTGTAGTTTTCCAGTTAATTACTTCAATGCCCATTTTTGTTAATGTTATTGACAGGATAAAAATAAATTTTGGCTGCAGGCACATAAAAACACATGTGAAAAGTATTTGCATTAACACAAAAAAGTATAAATCCTCCATAAATGAAACAACTTTTTTGTATTAAGTTTAACATCCTTTTCAAGCATTTCATAACAATGCGGTATTTCCTATGAAGTTTTCTCACATTATATAATATTTGTTGATCTGAAGCAATAAAACATGAACAGAATTTTATTCCCATAACACTTAAAATTTTCACATTAATGGTGAGTACATGACAGCCAAACTGGGTTCTTGTTTAAATTTTATCATGTATTCTTCCTCATTACATGAATACCACTTAATTATTGTTACATAAGTTGGTAGCCCATTTTCACTGAGAGATTGGGTGTCCCATATACTGATATAAAGGATTAAATCCCTTTGGAAGTATTCATGAAGATTACAAATTAAAACAATCTTTTGATTTTCAAAATATTATTAAAAGCAAGATAGAACACAGGAATTTTACACTTCTTTAGCAATACAGATTTAAGTCCTATCATACTGCTGTACTATATGAAGATATGTAGTGTTGATGATAGGTATAAGTGCGCAAGACACTTGGGCTGTACTATTAGTTATGGAAATGACATCCTATCATGTCACTGCATTACATTAAGGTGGTAAACACTTGCCTATGCAAGTCAAATGGCATTTTGAGAATACTTTAAAACACATGAAAATAAAAGTACACACTAAAAAAATTGTTGACAATAACATATTTAAAAGTTCATAACCTAATGATGCTATAAAAAATGTATCATTATATGGAACATCATCTGATATATAATTAGTGCATTGTGGGTCCTCATCTCATTTGGCCACACTGCAGCATTTCTATGCACAACTCTACCTGTGCCATGGGAGCTGTTTTGGTTTTGCCTTTCAGTATTTTTCCTGGGCTTTGATTGCTTACTGCTTTCATGTTTCAGTTTAAGCCATTTGCTGACACGTCACTGCTTTTTATTTATTTGGCAAAGTGTATCTTGGGCAGTGCATCTTGTCCTATAAGTGATATGCAAAATTTTGCCACACATTACATTTGATACAACTCTTAATGAGCCATGATTGTAAGTTTTAATATAGTTTTTTGGTTTTGCAGTAAGGAATGGTATTTTCAGCACATATATCTAATATACTGCCAGATGAGATTTGGTTTTTGCAGGGTATATTAGATATCAGGGAATAGTTGAATATGTAATGATGATGTTCACCTCTTTCTCTATATACACACTCTTGTTGGATGATATGTTTCTTGTGAAAAGGTATGCAGATAAGGGACTGAGTCCTGTCACATAAAGGTTAAGTAAAATATAGAAAGCAGAAGATCCCTTTTTGACTATTAGAGGGGTACAGCATATGTATCCTATATTTTTAATATATTTGATTCCATTATTGCTGCCATATTGCAGTACTGTGCTGTTAACAGATGCTTAAAATGCGATTCTGGCCACATTATGTTGATATGCACAACACTGGAGCTAAATGATGCTTCTCTGGTCAGTGGTGTGTTTGGCCAGTCTCATGATGCATGTATGTAGCAGATGTTGACTAACAATTCTAGGAGGATTGAAGTAGATTGTTCATTTTTTGCACAATTAAAGACTGATCTTTGAAACTGGAAATTGCCTGTATTGCTTGGCTATCAGATTGAATTGTAATGTTTTCTATTTTTATTTCAATGCATGCACTATTGCAGACTTAATGATAATAATTAAGCTTGGAGAATAAGTACGGCTATCCTGCTTGAGGTGGTTTATCAAGGGGTAGATTATGTTTGGCATTTCATAGAACACACATCTACTTCCCACCTTGGTCTTTAGATTTTAAATGTTTATATTAAGTTACTAGATTAGTTACTTACCTTGGAATAGTCTAAGACTCTTTTATCATCTCAAAGTTGAAATTTATAGCTAAATGCTGTGCATCGGAAGCATGCTGTTCACAGTTTTCTCATTAGTGAGTTGCACTTCGAAATGCTGCCTGCAGTTCAAAATGCAAACCTTGCATCTTTGTGACTTCCTCTATTGCTAATATAAAATTGAAATACAGTGAAGAAAAACATTGCTACTGTTGATGTAGCCTGACAACCCTTTGTAATGTTAAAGAGGACCAGAAACTGAATGGTGGCCTGCAGTCTTTCCTTTCAGAGTGTCAGGATGCTTACCCAAGCCACCATGCCACAGTAAATCACTACTTTTGTTATAACAGTATCATACAAGACATGCTCAGATTTCGTGTACAGGATAAAACCAAGGAATTTTGCTTAAGACAATTTTAATATGCATGTTGTTGAGCTTTGTTGTGGGATAATGAGTAATCTTTTGGGTTGCTTCATATCCATTATTATTCTTGATTTCACATTTGAAATTCAGAGTTT